TAACCTGAACTGAGCTATACAGCTTTCTGTTTCTCTGAAGCTTTGCAGCAGCTACGATGAGACGCACCGGGGCCCTCTTCGTCGAGCCGGGATCCGTAAACAACGTGGCGAGGTGAGACAAAAGCCCGAGCCAGGTGACGCACTCGAAAAGCACTTTCAGGATGTTTCCGAGGAAGGTCAGCGGCGGTTTTCCTGAACAAAAAAACTTTCGACAGTATTCCGTCTGTCAGCTGTAGGAATTCTTTTTTTATTTTCCAATTCTGGGGGGAGTGAGTAATCAACCGAGAGTCACTGCTCGGCGTTTGCAGGTTTCCTCTCTTCGTGTCGCTCTGTATGAGCGGCATTTCAAGGGAAACGAGTTGCAAAGTCTTCTCCTTATTCTACACAAATATAATTTAATTTTAGTTTCAAATATAGGAGTGCATCGTCGGTATGAAAACACGACTGCAACAGCAACTCACCCCCCGCCGGTCCTCGTATGGTGCGCGGGCCGTCTGCAGTGGCTACATCGGCGAATGCGACATTGAAGAAGAGGATATTTGTGGCGATCTTCACCACCAGCCAACAAATCCAGACGAAGATGCACGCAGCGATGCCTCCTGGGTGCAGCACGAGGCGCATCCTCTTTGCTGTATTTGCCCAACTCGGACAACGAACGACCCAATTGACTCAGTCTGCGTTCCCTCTTTGAACAGCCGAAGGAAACCACTTCTCCTCGCAGAGACAAGTGCAGAAAAGGGCCGATTCAAGGGAAAAAGAAAAGCCTCCATGAGCGCTGTCGCTCAGACCCGTGCGAAAGCGGACAGCACCGTCGCCTGTTGTTGCTTCTTTGTCGCAGGAGATGAATCATTCCTCTGGTAATATCTCCCAAATGTCTTGAATATGAAGTGTATGATCTATAATTTAGACTTTAATTGCGCTTTCCACTCAAAAAGCTGCACAAACTGTGTAGCGGGTACCGAGAGGCCATAACGGAAATCTCGGTTTCCGCGAAAAAGAAGATATCAAAGTATTCTAAATACTGGAGATCGTGCAGAAGAAGGAAATGCAGATTTCCTTTATTTCATTTCGAATGTCACAATGCGACGGAGGCGTAGCCACCACCCCTGCATGCGACCATCAATCGTAGCGAAGGTCTGGATCTCTTCCAGGCCTCAGCTTTAATCTTCTCCAAATTAATTCATTGACTTTAATTTAATTATAAAAATCAAATCGTTCTGATCAATGGGATACAACTTTTAGGTGAGGTTTCCCTGCGCTACGGCAGACGTGCAAAAGGCGCTGCTGCCTGCGGAAACCGGTGAGCGTTTCAGGTGGAATCACTCACTGTATCTATTCTCCAACAGTACAAACAAAGAGATAAATGTTTTAATTTGTTGGTTTCACAATTAAAGTCTCTGATGATGAACCTCCATTAGGCAAGGACTGCTGCTGCCGCCTCCGCCGTCGTCTGCCGTTTCAGCACCGCCCAGGGGGGAGAAACCCGAAATGCAGCGATGGCGATAGCGTCGCGTGTTTTCTCTTCTTGCGTTTCTTCTTTGCCGAGTTCTTTGTTGAATTCCGGCGTGAAGAGCTCCTCCATACGACAGTTTTCTCGTTCTGTTGCGGGGGCAAACTGCGGCAGCTTCTCTCTGCCCCCCTCTCCTGTTTCGGCCTTCACATACAGCTGCCGTCATTTAAACAGAAGGATTCGTCTTTCTTCTTCTTCACTCTCAACAGCTAGACAGCCAGACACGCGGCCAACAGCAGCAGTTGCTGCTGTTGTACGACAAGCAGTTGCCGTTGCGCCTCTGCGCCCCGGTTGCTGGAATCTGCATCTTCTGGTTCCAGCAGAGCAGCAGAATGCTGGGGCTGTGAATTTATTGTGCATTTCTTCTCGTTTTCTTCACTCTGCTCCCGGGGATGCGGCGCCCTCCACCTCAGCTGCTGCAGCCGCAGCAGCTGACAGCAGCAACACAAACCCCTCTCTGCATGCAGAACCCCCAGAGGAAATAT